TTTAATTTGTACTTCTATTAAAGTTCTTGTCTTGCTGCTGTTCAGCCAAACAGTATCATCTTGAACATAGTCAATTTTACATGTGTTTCTCATATGGATGAAATGCCCCTTGAAGACACTGGAATTAGTGAATAAAGCTTCATACTTAGGAGAGTTAAACTCTAAAGAGCAGGGTGAAGAAAGACCAGGAATAGTTCCTGTTCGTCTTCTTTTTAAGTTTATTAGAAGTCCAATTTAGCTAAAGTGGTCAACGGTTTAGTACTATTGTAGATTTAAAAAGAGCTAGCATGGATGGAGTGTAAAGTTCCATGTCTTCCCTGTTAAATGGGACAAATTGTTCTTAAAGAATGCTAAAAAAAACCCAACTATGTTAATTTAAAAAGCACTATTTGCATTCAGTCTTTTAATATGTGATAGCCTTGCAATAATAAAGTAGGTTGGTTTGGTCTTTTGTGTATATGTAATAAAAAATTTCCTTTTTTATTACATCAGTAAATCACAGAGTATACAATGATTCCAGGGCTTGCAACGCAAATTACAGTGTGCTTACGTATTAGCTATTGTATTGCTCTGCCACAATAATAAAGCATTGCCTTTATTCTGATTTGTTTCTTCTCATTTTTTCAGTCCTGCTTGCAGTTCAGAGTTCCTCAGAACACAATTGAATTATTCATATTTCTTGCCAGCTTCTGGTTTCAGCTGGTGTGAAGAGGCAAGCAGAAGTCCTTGCCAACTCTTGCATTAGTTGTGCTGTGAGAATTGTTCAGAAGACAGCAAACTCTTCAGGAAAGTCACAAAGTCATGCAATATGAAAAAATGAAATGTTGTGCCTCCATGTATTATACTGAATTGAAGACAGCTTCTCCCATTCATTGCTTTCAGTGAACGTGAAGTGGTTGTATTATGTCAGACTATCATTTGACAAAATACCCTTTCTGTGCAGTAACCAGCAAAAGAAGCTGAGGCAGGGGTGTAAGAGGTATTGTAATATAGCCTCTGCTGGGGCTCCAGGAGTATGCAGTACAGCGGTGCTGTGGAGAAAGTGTTTAACATAGCAATGATGAAAGTCTCCCACTAAGCTGTTGGCTCACTGTTTGAAGCCGTTTACCATCAACAGCTGGCTGTGCCGGTAAGTTCTGTCATTGAGCTGTGTGAGTATTTCCTTTTCGGTTTTTGAATCTTTGAGAGCGTCATTGTATGTGTCATAGTTCTTTGTGTGACAAGAGACACTGTCTATTCCTGTCCATTTGCCATGTGATGCTACTGACTTTATAGAATCTCAGGGCTGGCCTGCTTTGGATTGCTCCCTCTTGCCCTAATCATCTGTTCATCTAACAATCCACATGTGTGATCATCTGGTGGCCCTGGTTAGTACCTTTCTACTCATATGTTTTTGATTTCAGGTGGGACATCACAATATTGCCAAGGTGCCTGCCCACAGCCTACAAGATTTAAGTGCATTGTAAACACAATCATTTAATTAAGTTTTCAGTTTACCCTAGACTTGTCCTTATGCTATTTGCTTTGCCTTTCATCACTACCGAACATTGACGTGACATTTGCGCAGAATTGCCTACTGTGTAACTAGATTTACTTTCCAGAGTACTAACAGCTGGCACGCAGGCTGACATTCTTGTAGTATAATTAGGACTGCCTTCTTCACATGTACTTTGTGTTTATGTACACAGAATTTAATCTGCCATTTTATTACCTAGCCATTCAAAATCATGAGACCTTTTGCACACAGGTTTACTTTTACCATGCTGAATAATCTTAATTTATACTCAGTAAATCTCACCACCTTCCAAATCACCTCGTTTTCCAGATCACTTATGACTGCATTGACCAGTTCAGGCCTTTGCACATATCCATTCTCCAGGACATCTTTCCCTTTGCCTCCTAGGCTTAACTACCTTGCTTAGAAATTTCAAAGCAAAGTTAGGATCACATTTAATTCCTTTCATCTGGATGTTAATAATTTGAGTCATAAGAGGATTTTTGTCCTGCAATATTGAAAACAAATTCTTGTGTGGCACCAAGATTAAAACCTGCTATCTTCAGGAATAGTTCATGATTTCAGTGTCATATTTGTTCTGAACTGTTTTCTCTGTATTGAGATCTATTAAATGTGTTCAGTAACATCATTTGAAATGGATTAGTACAGTTTTGTATATGTGTAATAATATTGCATTACTGAGTTGATTCATTTTTTTTTCATTGCTGCTGTTAATGTGTTGTTGATGATCAAAAGCAAAATCATTAGTATAATTGAATACATCCTCTTGCTGTGATTTCAGTGGAGCACATCTAATAAACCAAGACATCTGAAATTGGAATGTAATAAAAAAGTGGTATTTATATTAATAGAATATTCCTCTTAAATGAGTGCTGTTAATGAATCTGCTGTGAAGCAGAGCTTGTAATCAGTTAAGGGTTACAGAAGAATTTGCGCAATAGGAGGACAGCATATAGTTTTACAGTGATAGTTTGTCATCTGTTAAAAATGTTCTAGATAAAATGCATTAGATTGCTTTAAATAAAATTTACTGTGAAAATTCAGGTACCATAAGTTAAATGTGTAAAGTAATTAATGGTTGTTTCAGTTATACTCAAATACCATTCTTCAAGGTGGATGAAGAAAAATTCAAGTGATTCTTTATGATTAGTAGACTTAGGAGAGAATGGAGTGTCAGGATTTGTGGGGAAGATGCTGATACCATTCAGCAGCCAAACAGCCTCCCCTTCTTTCTTTTGTTTTCAAAGTTACATTTTTTCTTTTTCTTTGTTTTCCTATAAGTGGATTTTAATGTGAAATTCTGAATGTGAAAATCATGGATTCAACTTTGTTCCAGAAAAAGTGGAGAACACAAAAGCACAGTCACCTTGCAGAGCACACAGTAAACAGCTTTAAATAAAAGGGGCAGGGAAGGGAGTGTGACTTACAGCTGGGAAGATGGAAATCTTACCTGATAGGCTGACCTTTTTTCATTATTCAAAATGTAAATTGTAGTGGTAGAAGGGCGATTATCCTCACCCAGCCCTTTCCCAGGCATTTTTCTCTAGTTCAGTCCCTCATCTCTAATCTGCCCCTGCTGCTAGTGTCCATTTCATGTTCTCAGGGAAGCCATATTTCAATTTTGGCAGCACTGCTGGTTAAACACTGACTCGGTATCGATGTTGTTGGTTCCCGTTCTCTGTGATAGCACGAAAATTGCCCAAACCCTCATGTCCCTGGTTCATCTCATCTCACATGACAAGCAAAATACCCACCTCCCAAGACACAACAAATGTGCTCTGACAGATTTGGGTAGCGCTTCTGTAAACAAGGAGTATTTGAATCATTTTGTAACTGTATGTTTTTTCATGCTCACGTTCGCTTTAATATAATGGACATAGCTGGTTTTTTAAAGGCAAATTTAAGATAGCTTAAGGTAGTTCTCAAAATTAGGCTGTTGCTTTTCTCCATGTTGTATGACTGTAGCCTCGAAAATTCTGGCCTTACTAACAGTAATCACTATGTTTGCTTGAGTAGAGTCATTTGAGGTCTGAATGGGGTGGGAGGGAGGTTCGAGAAATTTTGTATTAAAATTCTGCTTTTCTAAATATGACAATGGGTGTTTCTTGCACATGCTAATGGATTTTAAATAATCGTGTTGGTTCTTAGCTTTGTTAGGATAAATTTTACATTTATTGCTCTATGCTTAATATTACTTCTAGTAGAAAAACCTCTGTTCAAGAAAGAACTGCAGTGAAATGAACAGTTTTGAGTCTGAGACAGTGTGTCATCAGACCTCACCTCTCTTGATTTCCTCAGAATATAAAAGACAAACTTCAATACCGATCTCAAAATCTGATTGTAGCTCAAGCTTGCAACACCTCCTTGAACATTTTCTATCTTATTAGCACATCTTCCTTATGTATTAATTACAGACCAATCTGAAGATGAAAAGGAGCAGCCTCTTCTTTATCGGCTACTCATGGGAAATAATTCTGTTTCTCTGGAGTTAGTAGGTGTTAGCTTAGCAAAGGGCAGTGGGTCTTAAATGTATTTATGAAGTTAATATTTTACTCCTCTATATCACTTCCTATTGAAGAATAAATATTCATCACATTAAATTAATAATGAGCTAAGTTTTCTTTTAGGGAGGAAACTGAATCAGAGAAAGTTTTATGGTTTGCTCATAGTTCAGCTGTTACCACAGAAAGGTATAAAAGCCGGATACCTGAAATCCTGCACCTGTGCTTCAGCTATAAAATTTATCTCTTCACTATTTAGAAGATATTACGATTACTAATTTGACAGAAGTAGAATGTCTTTTCTTGTCACAGAAGTACATTGGAAATTACTCAAGGTGAGTTATACTAGCATGATCTATAGCTTAATTGACATACTCTGTTATATGTATCCCTACCAACACACATTCCAATGGTTGTATTTCAGTCATTGCATTCTCAGTCTGCGTGGAAAAAGAAGAGTTTTCGTGAAAGCAATTCCATGAGATTTTTGAACGTTAAGCAGTACCATCCATTTGCATATGTCTGTAGGAAATACAAGCAGCTTTGTGCTCCATACATGTAAATCAAGGTCCTCTTAAAAATCGTGATCAGTGTTGCTAACCTTTCAGTAAGGATCTGTTCTGATAAGAGTTCAGATGTATGTGAAGACTTAGCGTTCCATGCGTAGAAGAATTCAGTCCACACCTAGGAATTCAGAAATATTACTGACAGACCTGTGGTGAAGTGTTTCATTTAGTTTTGCAGTTAGATGAAGTAAAGACAAACCCAAGATATGTGCCTTTCGCTTTAGTTAGAGGACAATATTTGCTTACTGTAGATACTGCTGAAACCGAGACCAAAACAGTACTTTAAGATTCTGTGTGTAAAACTAGCCATGATTGATAAGAATTGGTAATGATCAACGGTACCAGTGTGGATCCTTTTGTGGGTAGAAGCACTTCCACTTAATGTCTTTTTTTTTCTCTCTTTCTCTCTCTTTCTAGATGCAGCAGTTGTTCCATGAAAACTATGAGCACAACCGCAAGGGTTACATCCAAGATCTTCACAACAGCAAGATTCACACAGCCATAACACTTCATCCGAACAAAAGACCAGCCTACCAATACAGGCTGCACAATTACATACTGAGTCGCAAAATTTCTGAACTGCGCTATCGGACCATCCAGCTCCATAGAGAAAGTGCCCTGATGAGCAAGCTCAGTAACAGTGAAGTAAATAAGGAAGATCAGCAACTGGGAGTAATGCCATCTTTCAATCATTTCCAGCCACGTGAAAGGGAGGAAGTCATTGAGTGGGAGTTCCTGACAGGAAAGTTTCTTTACTCAATGGTGGAGAACCAACCACCTCGGCAGAGCCTGAGCAGTGTCCTGCAGGCTGCACTGGATGACACCGTGATGCAAGTCATGGAAATGATAAATGAGAACTCTAGATCTAGAGGAAGGCTCATTGATTTCAAGGAAATACAGTATGGCTACCGCAGGGTCGACCCTCTGCATGGAGTGGAGTACATCCTGGATTTACTGCTTTTGTACAAAAGGCACAAAGGAAGGAAAGTTACAGTTCCGGTGAGACGCCACGCTTACCTTCAGCAGTTGTTTAGCAAACCTTTCTTCAAAGAAGCAGAGGAGCTGGATGTAAGAAGCCTGCTGGAGGATACCAACACTGACACTCAGTCTTTCTCTTTTCTTTCAAATTCTTTTAAGATTTTTTCCTCATCATTCCAAGGCACCAAAGACAATGGGGGACGCAATGACAAGAAAATACATATTCTTGTTCCTCTCACAGGAAGATTTGACATTTTCTCAAGATTTATGGATAACTTTGAGAAGACTTGTCTGATTCCCAGGCAGAATGTGAAGTTGGCAATAATTCTCTTCAGTTCTGAGTCAGGCCAGGACTCCAGCAAACACATAGAGCTAATGAAAGAATACAGCATGAAGTATCCTAAGGCAGATATGACCCTGATTCCGATGTCAGGAAAGTTTTCTAGAGGCTTAGGTCTTGAAATGGCCTCATCTCGATTTGACAATGGCACTTTGCTGCTGTTCTGTGATGTTGATCTGGTATTCACACCAGGCTTCCTCCAGCGGTGCAGAGATAACACTATTCAGGGAGAACAGGTTTACTACCCTATCATCTTTAGCCAGTACGATCCAAAAGTAATATATGGAGGCAACACTCCAGCTGACAGTAGTTTTGTTTTGACAAAAAGAACTGGATTTTGGAGGGACTATGGATTTGGAATTACCTGTATTTACAAAAGTGATCTACTTACTGCTGGTGGATTTGATACCTCAATTCAAGGCTGGGGACTTGAGGATGTAGACCTGTTTACTAAAGTGATAACATCTGGCTTGAAGGCTTTCAGAAGTCAAGAAGTAGGAGTTGTCCACGTTTTTCATCCAGTTCAGTGTGATCCCAACTTAGATCCGAAACAATATAAAATGTGTTTAGGGTCCAAAGCAAGTACATTTGCCTCTACCATGCAGCTTGCTGAACTTTGGCTACAGAAACATTTGGGTGTCAGGTACAATCGAACTCTCTCCTGACATCTCAGCTTTGGCCTTTTTAGGGGAGTTTACCTCATTAGTGTTACTATTATTTGATTTTGCTGTCATAGTTTTAAACTCCCTCCTCGTTGTCTTCCAAAGACTGTTGACCTCAATTGGGATGAGTCTGCTGTTCACTGATGTTTCTTATATGTGCTGAACTGGTGAGGTGAATTCCTTCATCTTTGCTTTATTTGAAATTCGGTCAAGTCACAGCAATCATATGATCCCATGGAGCACATCTGTCACAAGAGACTGCATCAGAAGAATGTTCTCTTTTGGCTTTGGGATGCAGTATCATCTTTGTTGCATTTCTGAGATCTGATGTGATACAAATATTTACTGCTGAAGGTACCACAAAAGTGCTTTATGCTTCTTCTGGGGATGGAACTCTATAAGATAAACTTGAGTTTTATAATTTATATGAGGACTTATATGTATAAAAGGTACTTTTCTTCATCTTTAGAATTTTTAAAGTAAATTAATAACTATGATTGTATCTTTATTTTTAAAAAAAAAAAAAAAAAAAAGAAAAGCTGAGGAGCTAATTGCAAATACAACTGGTACTGGCTACCAAGGTCCTTAAATGTCTTATTAGAATAAATAACTCCTTATTGTTGTTCACTCTAAGTGTAAAGGAACTTTATTTTCACAAGGAACAGGATTTAATTGAATGCTCATGTACACTTTAGAAGATTTGTGAATGAACGTCTCCATTTGCAGACAAGAAGAAACTATGACTTAACAAGTCACTTATGAAAAAGTTCAGGCATACAGTATTTTTTTTGAAGCACATAGTATAAGTTGCTGATTCTCTTTTTAGAATTAGTCTCTAATACAACATTTTCTTTTACATTCCTTTTGTAAGGCTTCACTTGATACAGAGTGTTAGAGCTTAAAATTGTATTTTTTTTTTTACATTTTACATGAATATAGGTACTCAGTAGCAATTTGTTGTTAAAATTAAAATAATTGTAGAATAAAAATTGAAGTTTCAAAATTAACTATTGCTGGTCAAAGTTCCTTGCCAATATATTTATATTAGTGGAGGCTATAAGACTGTGTTAAGATTTATCTCTCTGGACAGCCTGAAGTTGTCATGTTGTGGATTCATGGAGTAAAGTATTAAAAATGCTACCAACATAAGAAATAATAAAATCAATTTCTGTATTTTAGAGAAATGTTTATATAGGGATATATATACACAAGTGTGCATGTGTGTGTGCGCGTATGTCCCTATATAGAGATAGACGGAGAGAGTCGTGTCAAAATATGTTCTCTTTTTAGTTCAGGCAACAATTTGTTACAATCATAGTGTTATTTTTGCCGCATGCTTGGAATGTTTTATGTTATACTGTGGCAAGAGCTCAAACGCATCCAAGAAACCATGGGAATTCAGCCAAACTCAAATTAATACAGCGGGTACATATACTAACCTCAGTACCCTTGATTTCAAACTATATTTCAAATAGAACTGGGCAAGAAAAAGTAAGCAATTATTGAAGTTGAGTTTGTAAGTTTTTCAACTGTAACTGACTCCTGTGTTTCCTTTCAAAAAACGACTACAAGACTGGAATTCACTGACACATACATTTGTATGAAAATGTCCTGATAAATTTCGTAGGGCATGAGGAGGGTGTATAGGTCAGTTAATGTCTCTTATCTGCGGTTGTCTGTTCCGAATTTACCAAGCAAGGAAAAAGGCATTCCTGAAAAGGAGTGAGTAAACTGAAAGTTACAGAGCTGGCCATAGCTTTTTGTATGTTTTAAAAAAGGCAATCCCCCTTGTCTTGGAGAAGGTGGTAGTTGTGGTAGATGAGAACAGATGGAAGGTAGTTCCTGCTCGTCTGCCTTCCCCAAGGACTGCTCCTGGTTTATTGCTCTTCTGGAGGCTCTTGCCTTCCTAGCCCAGTATTGTTAGCTCAAATGTCTGGAGAAAGTAAAATTCAGTATTACTTATGAAATAATTCTTGGAAATGGCTCTTTAAACTGGGTGCAAATGTCACACTTTGTTCAATAAGAGAGCCAAGAACAAGGAACATAAAATTTATTTGATCGATCTCGACTAACTGGTACAGCTCAGATTGTAAGTGTCAAAAACTGAATGCCTGTTGATAAACATTTGTGATGATTTCATAAATATAAAAAAAAAATTATTTACAAAGTCATCTAAGGAAATAATTGTCTGCTGGGAGGTATTCCAGTGTTTATTTCAATTACTTAACTTACTGGCCAGAAAGTAGTTGCTCAGCTCAAAGTAAAATAGTAGATTAGAAGAAATTAAACCAATCATTCAGTGGGGATAAAGATGTATACAGAGGGCTTGCAGGATCGGGTCCTCCATATATAAGCAAAATGCTAGTATTTACCAGTACAAATATTTATTTAGTGTCTGACTGATTCATTTGTTTATATGATGAATTACTTTGTTAAGAACCTGATTATAAATGTTTGTTATGAAATATTGCATTGTCTTTTGAATTAACTATCCTGAGATAACTTGAGAATTTGTGTCAGTTTAAGGAATGATATGCCTTCTAAGGAGATCATATTAAAAGGAAAAAAAAAAAGCACAAAAGTGTTAATGTTATGGATGTCTAGATTAAGATGGGAATGTCTGTGCCAATCAACTGTTTGCTTTTGTCTAATCTGAATCATAATCTTGATTGTAAAATGAAATTTCTGTGCGTATCATGTCCCTTTGTAAATGCATAATTAATGAGCTCATGATAGAACATAATGACTAGCTTTTCCCAAAACCTCCTTGCCCTGGGAATAGGTTGCCTGGTTTCATTGCTGGGAAATGGGTTGTGAACTGCACACACTTTGGCTTTTCAGATGCTGCCTTTCTTTTAAAAAAATCTCAGCAATCCCCGCACAGAGACCTCAGAAATCCCCATGCCACCCCCATCCTTATGTGTTTTCCCATTCACAGTACTTGATTTAACAGAGCATTGCATCTGCTGGATGAAGGAGAAATATCAGGTTGGGCTTCCTAAGACCTGTTGAGCATACTTTGCATCAGGGTACTGGTCTCACGCTGGAGAAAGGCAGAGGGCTTGGGGGAGGCATGAGGCTCAGCCGTGGAAGTCATCGCCTTCTGCCTGAGTCACCTCCTTGCTGCCACCAGTGCTACCAGATGCCTTTCCTGGAAGCTGCCAACAAGCAGCACAAGCCAGCGCAGGAGGAGAGCTGCACTTGCTGCCACCAGATACTTTTGATAAGCAAAAGGGCCATTCTAATCAGGGCTTGGGTGGAGTGAAAGGAGGGTGTGAAAACTGAGGTTTCATTGGGTTGAGGCGGCAGGGTATCTTGTGCAGATCCTGTGTCTCCCTGTCCCTGGGTGGAAAGGGAGCCTGGTCCCACACCTTTTCCCTGTTTCCTCTCGAGGGACATTGTGAAGGATGGGGCGAAACCAGCAGTCCTTCCACTTGGTGGGGCTAGTGGGCCTGGGCCACGCACTTGGAGTCCTGCTGTGTCATGGAACATGTGGGCAGAAAGGTGCTAAGGAGTATTCCCAAAAAGCAGTACAGAGAGGAGCACCTTCTGCACTCGCCAAAAGCCAGGAGGATGTGCACTAAAGTGCCTTTTGGAGCCTTTGCACCACTGTGCACTTAACAGTGCCTCAAGACTTACAAAAATTGTAATGCTGGTAAAATGACTCATAGGAGTGTACTGCAGATCCTGAGGAACTGTGGAGGCTTCCAAGGACCATGAATTAACAACCACTTTCTTTAAATAGAGAAAATAAGCAATTTAAACTTATTTTTCTTTCTTAAGAAGTAATTCTAGTGATTAGTTAAGATGTAGTTTGCCACGCAGAAGGTTTGGCTCCATGGAAGAATGCTAGCTTTAAGATATAAGCAAAACACATGTGCGCTCTACATCTGATTTTCCTGCACTTGGTTAAAATTTTTTGAAAAAAATATGGACTAAGAATTCGTGAGCTGCTGACTGGAGGAAAGTTTTGTATTTCTGCTCTATTTTTAAAAGAGAATTAAATGAGATGAAAACAAGAAATGCTGACGGTAGATATGCACAAAAATCAGCTATGATGTGAGGGTGCATTGATGCTTATGGTCCTCATCTGCAGCACAATGAGATGTTTCACAGAAGTCTAACTATTTACAATAACTGAATATCACTGAAAGTTACACTCTGCCATAAGTCTATAAATGACATATAAAGTTAAATGACTCGATTTTTATTTCTTTCATTTCTTAGAATAATTTTCTTTACATTTTTCTCTGTCAGCATTTATTCACTTGATTAATAAGCTGGCTTTTCATGAGTTACTCCTTCCTGTTTTCCTTTGGTCTTCCCAATTACAGTATGTATTACTACAGTATTTTAAACTTTTGAACTAGCATGACATTTCTGTTAAGGTTTTATGATGTTGTTGCCATATAGAACTCCTGAACAACGGTATTTTGCCAAATGAGTTGCCAGTCCTGCTTCAAATTGTTTCCATTTGCCTGCCACTGGAAGTTAAAAGTGTTCTGAATATTACCACTTCATCCCTTCCTCTGGTCTCCTTCATACTGGAATCCCACCAAGGCAAGGAAGTGCAAAAACTTTCCAGTTGTGAAGTCTAGGAAAATGAACAGAATCTGAAGATTTACTTTATCTCTTTTTTTGTTTGTCTGGGGTTTTTTTTGTCTTCAAGTCTGTTATCTAGAATTCCAGAAGCATATTTATCAGATCCATAATTTTAATAAATTATGTAACAGTTATTAAGATATGAGACAGCATATATATGGATTACATGATGCTAGTCATAATTTTATGTCTTTATTTTTTGATTATTCAACAGATGTTTGCCATTTATAGGAAGTTTGAAGATACATGAAAAGCATCCTTGCTGATTTAGTGTTTATTTATCATTAGTGGAGAGCTTAACCATGTAGGCAGAGGTCAAAAGATGTGCTTTATACTGTAGACTGCAGGTTTTGGTTTGTTTGTAGTACTGGTGGGAAGAGCTCATCAGCTCTGCATAGGATGCCTGCAGTGTGGTAGTGTCCTTCATAAATCAGCCGTGTCTAGCAGTGATTTTAAGTGACTGCAAAACTATGGGCATAGCATCCAGCTTCATACAGCAGGAAAGTCTCACTGGACTTCCCTACACATGTGAGAGATTGATCCTCAGATTCAGAGGGACTCTGGTGTGGCATAATCAGATGGTAGGTACATAGGTCAAATACATCTGCTGCCACAACTTCTGGGCACACCCACTGAAGGCATCCCTTTAGAAAGGAGGCCCCAGCAATGCAATGGGCTCTGTGAAGATATTCCTAAGAGAGATTTATGCTAGCTAACATAGGTGCCAAAAACTTCTACTTAGAGCAGGTAAATTGCATTTAGGTGATTTCATCAAAAAAGGATAAAAGAAAATGAATGATGGAAAAAAAAAGTGCTAGTACTTGAGATCATGAACGTTTTTATTATTGGTTATTTGGGAAGCCTACGTGACTTGCTCTTGCCCTTGCTTAGGGTAATACGGAGCAATAAACTATGCCTGTTTT